TTCCTCTGGTACAAACTAGTTTGTTCCAGGAACAACAGCTTGGTCTGATGCAAACGCTCCTCTGGTACAAACTAGTTTGTTCCAGGAACAACAGCCTGGTCTGATGCAAGACAGCAGTTGCAAGAGACTGCAAGTGTTCCTCAGTCGCAAACAAAGCTATCTCGAGAACAACATCTAGCCAAGGAGAAAAGCCAGAGAGGCCGCATACTCCTCTGGTACATACAAGCTATTCCAGGAACAAAAGCTACCAAAGGAGGCGGGCCAAGCCACACATAGAAAATAGGTGTTTGGCGAGCAATACACTCACCTCTACGTAAGGAAACAAGAGAGAGGGAAAGAGTCATGCACTGCCACCTCTACGTAAGGAAACAAGAGAGAGGGAAAGAGTCATGTACTGCCACACCTTTGAAGCCTTACTCGATTAGAATTTACATGCTAGAAAACCGCTGGCGACAGTGACATGAGCACTGATTACTTGTCCCACCCTACTCAAATGCTTTGGAGATGGGGCAGTGCTGTTGAAGTGTCTGTCTCCTAGGATTGGCGTGATCCCACTGTGGATGTTTCATGTCCATCAACATGGACAGCTCTTCGATCCCGTCCAGTGCTGATCTCATGCTGTCTTTAGCACAGCAGCAGCTCCACAATCCATGGAGTATTAGGCGTTAGACATCCTCAGCAAACACTGAAGGGGGGCAGAGAGGAGGGGAGGGAGGGGGGGGGGGGGGGGCATCAGCAATTCACCTCACCTCTGCAGGGTTCATCATCCTGACGCATCTCCCCAACTTGGACCACAATGCTCATCCTGCCCCATCCCCACAACTTGGGGTAGGTTCATGCTTTTAGAGGTCAGAAAGAGAGAGTTACCTGAAACAGAATAATCCCTTTTCTGAGATGATGCAAAAAAGGCAATGACCTGACACTCAGTAAATCTCTTCTCCATCCTCTCATTCGAATGGGCGAGGAGTCTGAGGACCATCGAATATGTTACAGCTCTCGACAAACTCGTCATCAAATTCCACGTACTTCGTCCAGAATGGCTTGAAATCCAGAATCGCCATATCTAGCCACGGCTTTGCTGGGCCATTGTAATGAATAACCGCTGCCTTCTCAATTGCCCGCAGATTGACCCCGGGTTGATACCCAAGTCCCAGCAAGTGCCATCTGGAACTGAGGGGCTTTACATGACCTCGAAAGGCAATGAGTGCCGGAGGTAGAGTGCCGAGGCGCCACAACCTCATGTTTTCTTCTTCGTTCTGCAAAACCAGCAGCCCAAAAGATACAGGCAACTTTCAGCAGGGGCAATGAGAAACTTCAGGTCATCCACCACTACATGCACACTTGCATGCATACATACATATGTACACATATATAACTACACACACATACTTAAACATGTGTACATGCCATATGTCTATGTGTATGCGGTCCCATAGTGTGGACATGTACTTGCATACACACATGCATACCGCACCACGCACAGAATACAGCACGATGCTGTGACATAATGAACTAAAAGAGCGCACTTTGCGGAACAAACAGTAAAGATTAAAAAAAAAAAAAAAAAAAAAAAACACGAGGGGCACACAAACTATTATTTTTTCTCATTCTTCTCTGAACTCCCCCTTCACCGCGACTTTCACGTACAAGGCTCGCCACGTTGATGAAGTCGAGTGCGAGCTGCCCGCATCCCCGTGTGCCATAACAGCCCACTTGTACACTGTGAGAAAGAGGCAGAGTAAAAGAGGAGGTGATAAACACAAGGAAGAGAGATGAAGAGAAGAAAAACAAAGAACGAAAAAGGGAAAGCAAGGATAAAAAAAGGCTCGAGAATGGGTCTGTCATTGACGACAGAGAGGATACACATTGTAAGGATGAGGTGGATGGGCACATCGAAGACCTAGCTGAGTGCAAGGCTTGAGGCCTCGGTGAGCCCTACTGGGCCCTGTTTCCAGTAAGAACGGCCGCCCTAAGTGAAGGCGGGCCTGACAAGTGACGAGAGGCCTATTTCTGGGCTTTTCACGCAACTGGGAAATTCAGGCAGTTGTGCAGCGCCAGTTGGTTGAGTGAGCCCAGGCCCTGCCTGCCTTTCTCCAAATGTATCTGAGGCAGGCCCTGGGCCAGACACGGGGCATGGACTGCACACAGGCCGCTGGCAGTTGGACACGAGTAACAGCCCCAGGCCCTGTGTCTGATCCCCCTGGACCGGGGCTCAGCCACTTGGGGCCTACCGGAAGCTTCTGGGCAGGGGCCCAGCGCAGCCAGGCAGCACGCAAGCAGGCAGGCCACTTCCATATAGGAAAGTGCCTGCCTCCGCATTCGATATTCGGGCACTGGCTACATGCTGCACAAGCGCTGCTGCGCTACTGGCAGGCAAGCGCCCACGCGCTCACGGGCGAGCAAGGTATACGCAGGCAGCCATAGCCAAGCTGGCCTGCGAGGTGCTGGATGGGGCTCATGGTGGTCCTTGGGTGCACGTGGCATCTGTGTGGGGGATCGAGGTTGTGAGTGATGCGTGAGACATACCTGGTGCTTGAGGCGAACGGCATTGGCCGAGATCTGCTCGTACTTCAGGGAGCTGTTGACGTCACCAGCAGCATTGTAGATAGGCTAGATAGGATCTGCCTTTCGTAGTCTGGGCGCCGAGCGCCAGATAGGGAATCAACATTGGTTCATTGTTGATGATGATGAGACTATTCCAAAATTGTCACTTATGAGCTTTTGCTGTGCTCTTATTTGGTGGAACGAATGGCATTGGCCGAGATCTGCTCGTACTTCGGGGAGCTGTTGACGTCACCAGCGGCATTGTACATAGGCTAGATAGGATCTGTTTTTCGTAGTCCGGGCGCCGAGCACCAGATAGGGAATCGACATTGGTTCATTGTTGATGATGATGAGACTATTCCAAAATTGTCACTTATGAGCTTTTGCTGTGCTCTTATTTGGCGGAACTCGTGTTGCAATTCTGCTTTTGGTTCGAGGTCACGACTATCTGGTTTCATGTGTACGATGCTGCTTGGTTTCTGGAATTCGCTATCGCTCATTTTCCTTGCATTTTGGTATCAGAGCTGTGGTACGTTGCGCTAATATGGCGCTTGTCTTCTACCTATGCGGTGCATGCATGCGGTCTGCTGGGTGAAGTGGCCGTAGGAAGTGTGTAATGAGGAGGGCGAAGGCAAGCAGGCGACCCAGGCGGAGAGGTGATTTTGGGTGTTTCGCAGTGTGACGAGAACTATCTGAGAGTGCCATTGATGCTGAGGTGGAACGGTGGTGTAATGCTGGTTGTGCCGAAGCAATGATCGATCATCACAATCGGCGTCAGGTCATCTGGTGAGAATATCTATGGTTGGGGGCAGCTATTTTGAGGTACATTGCTCTCAACCTTATCTACCCTCTTCGACACTTCTTATCGTGAGGATGCATGTTCTGTCTTGAGAATCCTCTCATGTGAGGAGTCGAGTGCACTCAACCTTGAGAGTCAGCATTGTTCACGTCGAACATCTGGAAGGAGAGGGCGAAGCTATCTGAAGGGCCCTGGACGAAGCACTGGGTCACGGTGACCATGCCAACCCACCGGGAGTAGAGCATGCATGCTTTGCTGCTTTGTCCTTTGTCTGCCTGCTGCGCTGTAGATGGGTTATGAGGGGCAGGCCAGCCCTACAGGGGAGACGAGCACCGGATGTCTATAAATAAGTATCGACGGGGTACCTTCCATTGGTTGTGATCGTTGTCCTGTTTGCGACGTTAAATAATTCTTGAGGACTTCGGAGGCCGTCCTTAAACGCCTCTTGATCAGGCAATCGGTCGGTGTCAGGCTCACTGCACACGAGAGTAAACATGGTGCAGGGCTGGCCGGGTCAGCATTGGCTCGGGGGCTCGGGGCACATGGGTGGGCCGTGTGCACACCTTTAGACACACACGCTATCTGGATTGCTCAGGGACGCTGACATCAAGTGACAATCAGGAAGAACTGAGGGAGGGGTAGATTTCAGGTGATAAGTTCAGGAACAATTCCACTCTGCCAACATTCATTTAAACAAGAACGCCCGCACAGTGCCACCAAACACGTCCCGCGGCCCGACAAACCGCCGCCCCTGGGCCCGCACCCGCCCGAAACCGCTCCCCGCATACACACAAACACACATCGACGAACTGCCGCCCACAAGA